TCCATCTTGTTCCTTTGAGGAAGGCCCTCTCCCTGAACCTGCAACTATGTCTTACTGCTAGGCCAGTGGCCAGCAAGCCCCATTCACGTCTCTTCTTGGCTCAGTGCTGGGATGATGAGCATATGTGTGGCCATACCTGACTTTTATGTAGATTCTGGTATCCAAACTCCAGTCCTCAATGCTTGGACGGCAAGTATGTTTAACCCCTCAGCCATGGCACTAGCTAAAGCCTTAGCGTGATTTGGAAGACCCTGTCCTCTCTCGTCAACCTCATCTCTAGTGGTCCTTTCTTCTGCTCTCTGCAAACCAGCTTTTCTTCCGGATGTCAAACCCTTCAGTAACCTCATAGCCTTAGATTGTGCAGACTCTCGATGGCCCACCCCCACCAGCTCTCAGCATCTCTTCTTCCTTGGTTGCTACTCGTCTTCCTCACCCAGCGCTGATGAGATAGTACCCGATCTTGGAGCCAATAGCACTTTGCCACACACTCTTTAACATACATGTGATGGCCTCTTTCTTTTGGGACTAACTTCTCAGTGAGTGATCTTTGATAAGTTGGTTTTTGTTGTTGTTGTTGTCGTATGTAATCAGGAGCCGCATGTCATCGCTAGTGGCATGGCCCCATTCCGATCGCAGCACCCAAGCTGAAGGTGAAGTGGGCTTCTAACAAGGAGCTTGTCCTGGATCCACCAGCCAGGTAGCAGAAATGGTAAGTCTATGGAACAGGTAATTATCGGACCCAGTCCTCCTTCTGTGTTGTTTTCTCTGCTGCCATTCATGAATTATAGTCTACAAATACATGCTTGGCCTTAAAAATCGCCAAACGCATGCCTTGTTAACAGAATGCACTCAGGGAAGGCAGCCCGCAACCCCCACTTTTCTCCCCCTGTTCTCTGTGGGTATGAGTAGAGGTTATCTGAATGTAGCAAGTTCCAGCATTTCCACCCCGAATCCTCACTCTCTCTTCCATGTCGCTGTGTCTCATGCATCTGTTCACCACTGGCTCCCTCCAGTGCCTCTCTCCTCAAAGTCCCCCTTCTTGCTGGCTGTGGGTCCATCTCTCCTCCCATCCTTTTTAAGCAAAGTCTAATGTATAGCCCCAGGTTAGCCTTGGCTTCACTGGTTAGCCGAGGATGACTGAGCTGCTGTTGCTGTTGCTTTGCCCTCTAACTGCTTTGCCCTCCCTTCACCTGTGCTCCTGACTTTCTCGTCTTACCCTCTATGCTAGAGTTCTTAAAAGAATTGCTCCATTTCCAGCCTCCGTCTCCTCCCACCCACTCACTGTTATTGTGCTATTCACTCATTTCTCTGATAGTTAATGCATGCCTCCAGCTCAGAATTTAAAACATTGCACAAGATGTACAGTGAACCATTGTCCTGTCACCGGCCTCCCTAGGCTCACAGTCTCCCCAGAGGCAGCCCCCATGTCCAACTCCTTCCTTAATCTCTGGAGATTATACACATGTATACTTATTGGAATTTTTATACAAATGGGGGCATCTATACACATTGTCTATTCTTGGACTTTTTTTCATCTATACTTTGGAGGTTGTCCTGTGTCAGTATACCCAAAGCCGTCTCGTTCTTCTACATAGTGGCCAAGATCCCACTTTGAAGACATATCATCAGGTCTCCTCTCTGGATTTTTTTGTTTTGTTTTGTTTTTTTGCTTTGCTTTGCTTTGCTTTTTGAGACAGGATTTTGTTTCTCTGTAGCTTTGGAGCCTGTCCTAGAACTAGCTCTATAGACCAGGCTACCATTGAACTCACAGAGATCCGCCTGCCTCTGCCTCCCAAGTGCTGGGATGTGCCACCACCACCCGGCTTCTTCTCTGGACATTAAGGGTCCTTCTGTCCTTTGTCCTGACAAACGTGCTGCCGTGAGCATCCTTACACGTGTGTGCTTTCCCACCCCTGTGAGCGCTTTCACAGAATAAGATCCACAGGATCTGCTTTCACAGAATAAGATCCACATTTTGAAATTAAATTGCTCTCCACAGAAGTAACAAGACATCGGAGGGCCCTGCGTCCCCTTGTACTGTGCAAGAGATTTTTTTTTAACAACTGTTTGTTATTAGATGATAAGTATAATTTTAAATTCTTTTAATTTCATACATAGTTTTATTGTCTTCACTCCCTTGTTCCCCTAAAAACTCCTCCTGTACCCCCACACCCCTCTCTCAAACCCGTGCCCTCTTTCTCTATAATTTTATCTGTACATATGCCTGTGTGTATGTATGCTAGAGCTTGTGAGCCACACTACAGAGAATATGGGACTGTGGGGAGCACATCCTCCCCAGAGGACATCTATAGTACGTGCTGTGTCCATTGTTGAGAGAACATAGCGGAAGAAGAGGCGGAAAGATTGTTAAGGCTAGGCAGGCCTGCTGGGAAACGGCATCTTGTGAACATAACAGGGATGTTCCCCCTGAACCCTCAACAAGGTTATCTACCCAAGACTACACCAATAGCTTCCCACTGTGGGTGGGGAAGGGCTCACAAGGCCCTACCTCTAGTTTAAAAGCTATAGGCAGTTGGTGTCTGCTAGGGAGAGAGATTCGCTTGTTTGTTTGTTTGTTTGTTTGGCGTTTTTTGTTTTATTTTTTTTCGTGGACAATCCCCCTATAGGTTGGGTGCCCCCACCCTGATGGTCAGCCCTGCACTCAAATCCACATGGGTACCACTAAAAGCACACTTTCAACCTGTGCTTGATTTTATGTATGTGCTCAAGCACTTTCTTATTTCTCAGCCTTTTGCTTTTCTTTCTCATCTGTTCCTATCTTCTGCCTGGTTGGAGATGGTCTTTTAATGATCCTAGGACTTCCCTATGTTAGAAAAATTCGTTCCTTGTCTATATTAGTTGCACATATTTTTAGCCACTGTGTAACCTTTTGTGATACCTATTACATGCCCAATAAAACAAATGTAACTATTGCGCTATTGGATTCCCTGCCTCCTGTTGGCAAATATCCAAAACCTTTCTCAGCCCTCATGCTTTCCAGCATTTGACTCTGCCAATCCATCTTCTGAATAATCTCTCTCAACTATCAACTTTTGTATCAAGACTCACCTCCCGCTTCTCTACTGCATCTCTTCTGATTCTCTGAAATTCCTGGGACAGCATCCTTGGGAAAAGCCATTTGCTCACCCTTGCTCAGCAGGGACCAGGAGGAGCGCAGTTAGATCACACTGGGCACTTCCCTGGCACCATGAGTGGGGTGCGCAGACAAGGGTGTTACACACATCTAGGGGGTGTGCAGACAAGGGTGTTACACACATCTGGGGGTGTGCAGACAAGGGTATTACGCACATCTAGGGGGTGCAGACAAGTGTGTTATGCACATTTAGGGGGTGTGCAGACAAGGTTATTACACACATCTAAGGGGTGCAAACAAGGATGTTACACGCTTCTACAGGGTATGCAGACAAGGGTGTTACACACATTTAGGGGGCACAGACGAGGGTGCTACACACATCTAGGGGGTGTGCAGACAAGGGTGCTACAAACATCTAGGGGGTGTGCAGACAAGGGTGTTACACACATCTGGGGGTGTGCAGACAAGGGTATTACGCACATCTAGGGGGTGTGCAGACCAAGTGGTTTAGGTTGATTCTTAGACTCTTTTTGCCTCTCATCAAATTTAACAATCTGAAAACTGCCACTCTCATCTTCTCTCCCCGACTGGGCTTCTGCTACCCCCACAGTCCTGTAAGGTCTGCAACTGTCTCCCCAGCCCAAGACCCAGCACCTGCCGCCAGCTCTGCTTTGGCGGCCTCTTCCACTCTGCTCTTCCCCTGCAGCCCCGCATCAGCATCTCCTGTCTTGATCCTAAACACTCTCCTGCTGCAGTCCTGTACGTTCTCAGTCCCTCTGCTCACGAAGCTTCATTTTCCCGCAGCCCCAGCCCTCGCTCACTGCTCAGCCGAGAGCTCTGAGACAGCTTCAATCCCCAGCGGGAGCTGAGGAACCATGGCTGCAAATGAGGTACAGAAAACACATTCTTCAAAATAGAGGAGAAAAATGCTACCCCTGTGGGAAGCATACCCAGCCCAAAGCCAGGCGCATGGACCAGTGCCTGCGATTCCAGCGCTCCAGGGATGGTGGCAGGAGAATTCAAAGTTGAAGGTCATCTTCAGCTTCATATGGAGTTCTATGTCATCCTGAGCTACGTGTGACTGTCAACAGCAACAAAATAAAACAGTGCAGTATCTTCTCTGTTCACTTAACGATGCGATGCATATGTGTGTGATCCCTGCACACATCATAGTTATTCCTTTAAACACATCCCGTTGGTGTTTGGGAGAAGTTTGCCGCTGTTTCTATTTAATTGTTGTTGACTTAACTGTAAGGATTTTTATTCCAGGCTTCCCATTTCCCCTGCTGTAGGCCCCTTCTGCTCGAGTTTCACTGTTGCTACAACTTAAGCCCCTCCTCTAGAGAACCCAGTGGCAAAGGCCATCTCCAAGACTCTGCTCCAAACTCTTTCACGAGTGACCAGCGACGGCCCTGCCCAGTGGGAAGACCCCTTTCTTCTGGTACCATCCCGCTCTCTCAATCCTCCTCTATCAGCACCCTCAAGAAATAACCTCCAGCCAGTACCACAGCAAAGCTCTGATGGCCTAAGGAATCCTTGGGTGGATAGCTAATTGCCCCCGACAAGCTAGTATTTGGGGGAGGAGGGCGTTTCTGAGACTCCACACCCCTGCCTTAAAGAAAGGCACCCACACTTCCACACTCAGATCTATCTGGGCATTACTTGGGGGCTTTGGGCTGGAGAGAGGGAGGAGAGGGCACTTCTGAGAACTCAGGACGGGCTGAACTGACTGCTCCGGGGTGGAGGGAGAAGGGAGGGGAGAGGTGGGGTGCTGGAAGGGGTGGGAACAGAAGGGCTGGCCAGAGCAGGACGCTGCTGCTGCCCCTGCTGCTTCGTGTGCAGGGGGCATTCGTCGTTGGGACAGGGAGACAGAGCCTCTGAGTGTCCTTCTTCACCATCTTCAGACATGGCAGAGAACTCGGACAAAGTTCCTATCACCTTGGTAGGACCTGATGACATTGAGTTTTGCAGTCCTCCGGTGAGTAACCCCTGGGTCCCTAGTCCTGGCTTTGAGTGAGGGCACACGCAGGGACCGAGGCTGCATGTGGGTGCCAGGCCTACTTCTGGGCTGAGATGTTTGTGCCATTGAAGGTGTGGTGGTGGTGATGGACTCAAATGAGGGTGCCCAGTGTGTGGGTGGAGTGGCAGGGTGCACAGGACCCAGCACAGGTGTGGAGGGAACCTCTTATGACAGCAAAGGATGAAGGTCTATGGGACTAAGCGCCTTGCCCAAGGAAGAATCTGCTGTTATTTCCACGTTTAAGGCCAGGGGACCCTTGGGAGGTGGTGTCTGAGTGTGCTGGGGCCAAAGCTTCCCACTCCAGTCTTCGAGGTTCCCCGAGGACACAGCGCAGGGACTGGAGTGTATGTGGCGCGGCGGCCACCCGTCCCTCTCCTGCTCTGCAGGCATACGCCACCGTGACCGTGAAACCCTCCAGCCCTACGCGTCTGCTCAAGGTCGGAGCTGTGGTCCTCATTTCTGGTGCGTTGCTGATGCTCTTCGGGGCCATCGGGGCCTTCTACTTCTGGAAAGGGAATGACAATCACGTAAGTCCAAAGAGTGGCTTGAAGGGCTATCCGCCCAAGTTGGGGTGCAAGGCCCGCCAGGTGCGTGGGGTGGCCGGTCCCCCTAGGTGGAGCCAGAGCTCTAGTCCCTCAATGCGCACAGTTTGCTCCTCCCCCTTGGTCCTCTAGGGACATCCCCCTGCGCGGATCCAACCGATGTGGGTACTGGGCATGGTATAGGAAGCTCAGGGCTTCTAGGATATAAACGGGAATGGAGACTGTTCGAGAATGCCCTGGACACTGGAAAGCCATTCTCTGCCACCTCGGCCGAACACAGCCACCAGGCAGTTAGACAGTGGGTAGGGCACGTGGCCTCTCTGAACTTCTCTTCCAGAAAGAAAGAATGAAAGTAAATGCTCTTTAAGGCCCGTCCCACCTGAGAAAAGCTGTAAATTTTAAAAGGACAAAGGGGAAGGGAGAAAATTCCAAGCCACAGCTGGGGGTAAATCTTTATCCTTAAGGTTTCTGGGTTTGTGACCTATTTATTCATGCTCGCTTATCTTTATTAAAACAGAAACTCTGACTTCCTTAGCGGTGACAAATCTCTTTTAAGAGTCAGTCTGACCACCTGTGATTTAATAGCAAATGTCTCACTCACTACTACCCTGCCTTTATCTGCTGTTTATTTTAAAGCGGGATGGAGTCTCTCACCGAGTATAAAAACTGCACTGTCTGGATTGGGCAGAGCTCCGGCGCGTTCTCTAAATACCTCACTGTGTCCACCTATGTAAAAGGGGCATTTTATCTTGGTGACCATTGCCACACCAGGGTGGAAGCTTATTTCAGCTAATGGAAAAGAATTCTATCTCCAGGGTGCACACAAAGGGCTCTTTCTTAATCACTGTCCTCCCAGGATCAGTGGCTGCTGCTTTTTCTCCTCTCCCACCATGAAATTCAAGGCATGAACGAATCCCAGTACTTAGAGAAAATGGTGCTGAAAGCAATCCAACCATTTTACACATCACATCCTCGGCAGTTGCTGCGTAATTTGTATTTTTAACTCAAATGCCTAATGTAGATAAGCATGCCATTTAGCACTGAGTCTGTTGGAGAGACTATATCAAATTTACAGGCATCAATTTGTAAGATCAGAATTGCGCTGTTTTTTGTGTGGATTTGAAAAGTGCCTTAATGTATTTGTATTTTAAATATAGGCACTGGGCCAGATGCTCACATATGAAAGCAGAGAATCTGAACATGAAAATGATTTTAACATCTACATCCCCACTGGCAGCAGGGTTGAGATTGTCACCCTTTGGGAAATTTGATGGTGTTAAGACGTAAATACTATCTTTTAGATAACAAAATCTCGAAGATGAGAGTCATTCGGAGACAAAAATAGCTTTGCTTTTGGATGTTTTTGGTAAATATTTTGGCCATGAAACTCCTGAGAGCATTGCCATTTGGCATCTAAGTGTTCTAGGCAAACATGGCTAATTGACAAGCTTCTTTAAGAGAATGACCCTTCACACTGAAGGAGCGGGTTCCCGTTCCCCATACCTTCATTTTACCGCGAGATGTTCAGTTGTCTGGTTCAAGAGATTAGTATTAAATTCTAAGAAGACAGAGGAATAGTGAATCACATTTTATTGCCAACAATCAAAGTTATTGCTATTTCCTACACAGACAGGAAAATGAAGAAAATCATGGCAGTTCTTTTTCTTTCTTTTTTTTTTCTTGGAAAAAGAATGTCTAATGCTGTTCCATATTATTTAAGTCTCAAAAACAAATCACAAAATTTGGAGTAGAGCGCATTTGGCACTGTCTATGCTATGCGCAGGCACGGGCCTACCTTCTCTGAGTATAATTCTAAATCTCCCAAACACAGCAGCGTCAAAAAGGTAAGTCTCTATCCGACAGGCTCAACCAGCTAATGGACTACCCCTTCTCCCAAGAGTCTCTGCGCCTCTGCTCTCAGTTTACAAAAGAGAACCCGCTGTGACGTCCGTTCCTCCCCACGTCCCACGACTCAAGTCCCCAAGGGTTGGTCCGCTCAAATTTAGCTGGAGAGTTACCAAGCACAGGGCACTAATAATGAGGGGATCACTGGCTGAGCTCAAATATTGAGGCCATTTTTCATCCACGTTGTTGCAAATGCAACAAGGCATTGAAATATGGGAAATTCCCATCCGTGCCAGATAACTGACAACTCTACCCATTCCGTGAGGGGAGGAGACCATTGCTTAGGGCCTTTTTTCTTAGATTAATTTTTCTAGACATTTTCCCAAACATTATGTAATTAATCTTATAGAGCCGAGGCCTTATTAAAAACTCATTAGCAAATATCCTTGGCTGTAAAAGACACCGATTGAGCAGAATTTTGGCAAATAATAAAACTTCATTGTACTTGGCGAGAAATAGCCTTAGGTGCCAACAGCTCCCTGGGCTTAGAGCTGATAATGTAATTGCCACTCCAGCACTCAGCTTCCTGACCAGCTCAGGGCCCCGGACTTTGCAAACTGCAGATTGCCTTCCACCCTTCCCTACATCTGCCCCCCATCACTTCAAGAAGGCACAGGCTTTTCCTGCAGCCACCGAGATGAGCGTGCAAGCTAGGTCTATATCCTGAGGATGTCATCTGAGGCTAGGGAGCTGCTGCTGAGGAAGGAAGAGGAAGCGGTGGAAGGTGCAATTAGGGCTGGAAGGATCAAAGCCAACCTGGTTATGTAACATGATATACTGAAGGCCAACTTAGGCTACATATTAAGACTTGGGGGGATGGGGGAGAGAAGAAGGGACAAGGAACCAACTAACAGAGATCTCTAAATGGTCAAACTCATAGATGTTGCACTGCTTTAGTTTGTTGCCACCTGGGTGGAGGACACTTGTGCCAGTAAGAACTCACCACCTAGAGAAAGGCCTAGCAGGGGAGCAGCAGCCAGGTTCCTAAAACGGCCACAGCTAACTCTGTGTACAATGGCTGCTCTGAGCCTCCGGGTCAGAGCAGAGCCTGTTTCTCAACTGGCTTGCAAAAAAGCCTAGCTCAGCCAAAAACAAAAACAAAACCAGGCTTCCCTAACTGGGCTGCTCTTGAGGAAGAAGGCAAAGCAGGCTGCTGGGCTCTGGTCCTTCTCTGCTAATTCAGAGTCAGGGCAGCATAGGGAACTGCGGGCACCCGAGTTCCTGGAAGGAGGCAAGGGAGCCAGGGATGCAAGATGATTACTCCACGGTGGTGCTGGTATTTTTTCTCTTACCAAACGAAGATGGCTGCCTGGAGGAAGAGCGTGAGTGGCAAACCCATCTCCATGTCTCTGTGGGTGTAGCGATAATGAGTTTCTCCAAGTGAGGATCCAGTAACAACAACTCCATTGTCTAGTGTTTATCCACGTAGTAGCCACTCCTCGTAATGCAGGAGAGAAATCATGCTTGATTAGAATCACAGCTATTTACAGCTCTGACTGGCTGGCCTGGTGCAAGGTAGGAACTGTCTCTCCTCAGTTCTCAGCCTCTCCCTTTGAAGACTTGCACATATGCATATCTGCGTGGGCACCAGTACACTTTGTATGTCAGGCAGATGGCACCTAGATAATGGCCGGTTAATGAAGACAGATAGATCACTGAAGTCCGAAGAGGGAAGAAAGAAGGAAACTCAGCCTCCGACCCACCACCTAGAGAAAGGCCTAGCAGGGGAGCAGCATGCTGGGCAGGAGCCATTGCAGTGATAAGCTGTCTAGACCCAAACAAACAAAATACCCACTTTGGGTCATCTAATTTAGTGATTAAAAACATCTGTGTGTGTGTGTGTGAGAGAGAGAGAGAGAGAGAGAGAGAGAGAGAGAGAGAGAGAGAGAGAAAGGGGGAGGGGGAGAGAGAGAGAAAGAGAGAGAGAGAGAAAGAGAGAGAGAGAGAGAGAAAGGGGGAGGGGGAGAGGGAGAGAGAGAGAGAGAGAAAGGGGGAGAGGGAGAGAGAGAGAAAGAGAGAGAGAGGAGAGTTTATGTAGCCCTGCCTTTCCTGGAGACCAGGTTGGCTTTGAACTCACAGAGACCTGCCTGCTTCAGCCTCTGAAGTGATGGTGTATGTAAGACACATCCCAGTCCCATCCGAAACCCTTACCATATGCTATTCCACACATCTAATAGTGACCAAAAAAACTTATAAAATATCAATCTTCAAACAAAGATGCCACTTTCTCAGCTGAAAACCTCTCCATCTCTCCATGAGTGGTTCTCAGTCCAGATGCAAATAGAATTAGGCTTTAGAAAGCCAAATATTGTTGCTCAACCCCCAACCTGCACAAGCTTTGATTTACTTGGTCCAGATACAGTCCCTGGAGAATCTATTCAGTTGCTGCTGGTGGAAAGCCAAGATTCAAGTCTTGGAGCTGTTTAAAGAGCTATCAAATACTACCGAAGGTTTTCCTTAGAAAGAATTTTAAAATAAATCAGGCTGGGGAGGTGACTTATTTGGTAAAGTGCTTGCCATGGACACTTGAGAAACTGAATTTGATCTCCCAAGACCCACATAGCAATCCTATCACTGAGGAGGCCAAGGCAGCTTTGTTGGCCAGCTGATTTAGTTGAATTGGTCAGTTCCAGGTTCTGTGAGACACCGTGTCTTGAAAATGTCAGGTGGTTAGTGATTAAGGAATTAATTTACACACATATATACACACACCTTGGGGGGGGTATTCATGCATTCACCCATGTGCACAAATATGTGTATACCTACAAACACGTGTATACATACACACATACACACACACACACACACACACACACACAAGAAACCGTTGTATTAAGTGACTGGTGTATGGATGAAGTCCTCAAATACAAATGTATTTGTATTTGTAATTTGAAATACCATTTGTAACGGTATTTCCATGCATCTGTGAGGAAGATGAAAGCCACCTCATATATTGCAAGCCCCAAAATGCTGGAAGGAAGAAAGCATCACTGACTCTTGCGTTCACTTCTAGATTTACAATGTTCATTACACCATGAGTATCAACGGGAAGCTACAAGATGGGTCAATGGAAATAGATGCTGGGAACAACTTGGAGACCTTTAAAATGGGAAGCGGAGCTGAAGAAGCAATTGAAGTCAATGACTTCCAGAACGTAAGTACATTTCATGTGTCTAGAGAGTTTGGCAGGCAAGCCCTGGCTTTCCTGGTCTGAGGAGAAGCAGCATTTCTCTTGTTCTTTACTGCAACTTCGATGCCCCCGACGCACCTGCGCTGTGGAGCCTGTGCTCCGTGAGAAAGGGCCTTGCTTTGTCTTCCATGTCCTCCAGAGGAAGAAACATGGGAGAACATACAAAACAATAAAACCTTTTTGGATGCAGTAGCCCCAGCAGTTAGGGAGGGCGACACAGGAGGACCCCTTGAGTCCAGGAGTTCAAAGCTGCTTGGCAGCATGAGATTCCCATTTCCAGACAAGGTAAAAGATTTTCAAAAAAGGAAACAAACAAACAAGACAAAACACCCTAATTCAGTTCATGCCCTTAAATAACTATTTGAAAAAATGAATTTACTTCTAGAAAATAAAAGATATATGGACTTAGAAATCAAGATGAAGCTTTATTTTTCTAATGGAAAAGTATGTCATTGACAAGAACATGCTCTTCTTGGGACTGCACAAAGTCTTCAAGAAAGACTCATGAGAGCTATGTCATTCCAGGTGGTTTTCTATAACCTGACATATAAAATGCTCAAATAACATTCAAGGACAGCAGGAACAAAACCTTGGCCTTCTAGAGAATAAAGACATTCTAATGACTGGGTAGTTGCCCAACAATAGTAGGTTCTACTTCCATGTTTTTCTAAATTCCCATTTAATCCGGAAAAGAAGCATGGGTGGATCCCCTTGACAGCCCGGGTTTCCTGGCATGGCTATTACAACAGACACATTTCAGCCCCCTTTGTGTTTTGACCAAAATTTAACTAACAGGCAACCTACGCCATTATTGGTTGATGCTCCCGCATGCATCTGCTAACAGAAGTGTCACTCAGGCTCAATTTCCAGTTGACTGCTGACAAAATCTTATTCTCTTATGTTCTGTGATGAGGAAGAAGCATCCGTATTTGGGTTCTTCTGCTAAATCTGCAGACAAAGTAGGTGAAACTTCGTAATGAAGGAGGGCTCTTGAAAATGTCTCTTCTGATAGTTTATGGGTCTACAAACATCTCATCAAACCATCTTCCCCTGATTGATGAGAAGAAAACGAAAAGAAGCTTTTCATTTACACGAAAGCACTCCTCTTGTGGGAGCCAAAACATGCTTCATGAGTCCTTTTGAATTCCCAGCAGATGCTAGCATTAGTGCTCAGAGATGTTAAACGCTGATGTGGATGGGGCCTGGCTGTGTTGATGGAGGGCCCCGCCCTGGGGACAGGCTTTGCAGCTCTGAGTGTGCCCAGCTGCACTTTGGTCGGTCATCACATTGCAAATGGTTCTGGTCTGTGCACAAGTATAATGTCTCTGGACCTATTAAATGCTTTTACTGCAAAACCCAGGACAGGGCAAAGCACTTTTTCTCTCTACTACTCGATATAAAGGAATAAAATGTGGTTCCTCCGCAAACAGCATTCAATCCAGAACAAAACTGAATACTGTGATGTGCTGCAATGTCAAAATATGCAAAAGAGGTTGAGGATGGATTTCAAAAGGCCCCTCACTCTTGAGAGGTTCAGGTAGCAAGAATATCCTCTGAAAATATTTTAATCCCAAACCTATATATCTGTTTTATAATCCTTCGGTTCTTTCTAATAATGGTATTGATTGTGTTTTGCTCTCATAGACCAACGGGCCACAAATATTTTATAAACTGATCAATTCTCTTTGATAGCTCCTACAATTCTCTAAGTCAGACCTGGTGAGGGGAACATTTTTTTGATGGATAGTACCTGTTATGGGTTTCAACCAGCCTGGACTTTTGAAAAGACATGAATCAGCCTCTGTGGTCATCTGCTATTACTTCTGCCTCTATTTTAAACCATCTGTCAAATGCGGGAAGTGTTGATTGAGGCTCACCGTATGTGGGGATGCTGCTAAGTACAAGGGGTGAAAGATGACTGACATTTATCCTTCAAGGACCTTCTGGTCCAGTCTAAGAGAAAGATACAGGAATGTGCCACGATGAGCTATGGGCGGAGTGGGTTCCACACACAAAGGCGGCACTGCCAATCAGTGGCTTTAGCAAGGCGATGACATAATTGAACAGCGTCCTGAGGGATGATTTGTGGGGCTGGGAGCTGGACCAAGGGTCTTTCTAGACTAGCACCCTACCACTGAGCTATAGCCCCAACCCTTTTGAAAAGTGTCTTGAACTTTAATAGGGACCGCTGGAAAGGATACTACAAAAGAACTCACAGTCCCCAGGCCAGGGTGGTCACCTCAAGGATGGGAATAGAGATGGATGGAGAAAAAGGTGGGGTTAGATCACCAAAGGTTCTGAACTGTAAATTGGCACCCGGGACCCCAGTATTTTAACAGAGTCCAACATAGAACAGACACCTTGAGAGAGAGAAACACTGGGGAAAAAAAAAAAGAAAAGAAAGAAACAAGTGCTCCAAACTTTGTTCCCTGAGGGGGGGGGGGGGGGGGACAAAACTGAGTTGATTCACAGTTCGTGATTTGTATTCTGAAAGACTATAGTCTGACAAGCATCCACGCTGTTGGCTAAAGCCAAGCTCCTCAGATCTGAAGCCAGTAACGAAAGCCACGAGTAAAAGCCAAAAATAGTCAATAGTGGTGAACACATATGGGTATTCTGGGTTTCCAGCAAACAATTCTTTTCATGTGTGGATATTTGAAATTTGTGGTTTAAAAAGCTAGAGGGGGGAAAAATGACGATATAACCTACCTGGAAGGTAGGTAGGTTATTGATTTCAAAAGTCAATATAACCCTCCACCGTAATGTAAAGGAACAGTAAAATGAAGGTAATTTATAGTGAGATATGGATTTCATATGTGCATTCCCAGCCTGATGCATTAACTGGTATTAATAAAGTCAAACGCATACACTGGCCATCCCAAGACTGCCAGCGCCACACCTGCAGTGCAGACGGCCACAAGTGAGCTTTGGCAATTAAGTGCTATGAAATTCTCTGACAGTCGGCGTCGGGACCAATCTCTTGATGGGCATGGCTGTGCATGCCTGCCACCCCGGCACTTGGGAAGCTGAAATAGGATCGTGAGTCTGAGACAAGCCTGAGATTCTGACTCGGAAATAAAGCAAAAACTAATTTACTTCCCTTTCTAAGTAACCGTGTGCAGGAACTGCACTGCTCTGGGAGCTATGCTCCGCCACTGTACGCTTATATGGAAAATGGAAACTGTGTTCTGTGCCAGGCAGAACCTACAAACAGTGCTTTCCTAGGACTCGGGGCAGTTGGTTCTTCAGGATTCCAGGTTCAGGGAGGCCCGAAAAGGCCAGACTAGCCCAACATTTGTATCAGATTCTTCCAAGGATTTCTACGATGCCTGTCAAGGGCAGGACTCCCTTCTCCCCGTTGAGGCCCTCTAGGGGTCACAGATAGAGCAGCAGCCAGGACTTTATTATATGGCTCTTTTGATGAATGTTAATTTTTTTTTAAGTCTTCACTAGTTGCCTTTGTTAGCAAATTTCCTCATTATCACTGACTTCTGAGGCCGTTTGTTGGCTAACACAGGAGGTTTGCCTGACTTTCTTGTACTTCTCCATCTGTTTAAATCGCTTAATATATCTGGCCACTTGAGGCAGATTTGCAGCTAGACATGACGGCCAAGTGTGAATTCGTCTCCACCAGTCCCACCCCATGGGCTGTCAGCAACCTCCGCAGGGTGTGTACTGGCAGAATGGCCTCGGTACTAGGTCCACTTCCCGTGTAGCTGACCTCCAGAAGACTCTGCTCTCTCCAGGTGTACTGGAGTGATGTATGATGTCCTCCAACACACCTCATGTTCAGAAAGCATGTGTGTCTGGAACTAGAAAACCTACCATATAGGAAAGCAGTGGTCTCTCTCTCTTCCTTGCTTTTTCAGCTCCAAGTCCTAAATTTACATGCAGAACAAGAGCGGTAGAGATTTGCGGAACAGCATAACAGATACCAGTGGTTCTCAAGCCATATTCCTTGTGGTACCAGCAGGGCAGCCTCCAAGGGCTTGCTGAAAATACAAACTTTTAAGACGTTGAGTCAGAAATTCTCGCCCTGGACTTGGGACCCAGCCCCCTGGGTTCCGTCCCAGTGACTCCGATACAAACAAATGTTTATGAACCACAGGTACAGGAGAAACCTGACCTGAAAGACTGATACAAGTCTTTTAAAAATTTTACTCTGAACAAGTTCCCTTTGCCCTCAACTGCTGGGCCTCAATTCTAGCTATCTGTCCCTCGCTGACATCTGGGTAGTTTAAGAATACTTAAGAGACTGAGCACCACGTTATCACTGCGAGAAGAATATTTGGAAGGGCCCGGCAGCTGGGTTCTGTTTTTAGGTTGGTTTTGCTTGTTTATTTTAACAAGATCCTGCAGACCTCAATGTGGCCTACACGCTCGCTATTTAACCAAGGATGACCTTGAACATTTGATCCTCCTGCTTCCACCTCCCCAGCCTCTATTACCAAGCCTGGTTTTGTCAACTATGTCCTTAAAATCTCTCCAGAGGAAGTCGGTGGTCAGACCATGTCTCTGCCATGTCGAGGAGCTGGGTCAGGAGGGACAGGGTGTGAACAAGTGGGCCTCAAGGCAAAGAAATGGGCCATGCAGGAAGAGCCGTCTTGGCTCCCCTATTCTGTCACCTGCCGGCCTCCGTGGGTTTCAGGTCCAGGAAGGTAGATTCCTGTGAGTCTCCTCCAGCCTGACTTAGAGTTAGCTTTGTCTCTGTTTAAGACCCCTGAGCCCCAGTTCTGGATTTGTGCTATTATTTCCCCAAGCCATAACACTGTCTCAGTCTGGCCTTGTCCTACATTGACCTCCACACCACAGGAGGTCATCAACGTTCAGACCTGTGGTGGCATCGACATTATTAAGCATAACATTTATGACCTTTAAGAATATTTAGATCATTTATTCCTCATGAATGACATCAGCAGAATCAAAGTTAAATGCTCCTGGGACAGAATGTGCAGTTCCTTCTTGCATCCTCTCCAGTTGAGAGCCGTGCCCAACTGTCAACTCAGAGGGAGCTTTGTGCCGATGTGTCCCTTAAGGATGGTCCCCAGCCAGGAGGAGACATTGTTTATATCTCAGAGGGGACAAAACAAAACACCTAAATGCTCCAGTAAGATTTAGCTCCTGGAGCCATGTACGGCTTTTCTGTTTACTTCAGACCCAGTAACTGGGGAAAGCTCAGAATTAAGGGAATTCATTAATGTAACCAACATCTTACGAGAGGCTTTGTAGGATCACAAACGGACAGACACACACATGCACACATGCACACATGCACACACACACACACACACACACACACACACACCTGATCTCAACAAGTTCATAAGTGTGAACTGTGGACCAAGTGGCAAATGAAAGAGGAGGCTTAGAGAAAGTCAGAGATGGAGAACTCACCTAGGCCATGGGCTCAGAAAAGGCTGCGCGGCTAGAGCGGCAGCTTATCTGAGCTTCCCGCTGCACAGACAGGGTTCCTAACGTGAGCCACTGGGCTCAGGTGTCACCCTTCATTGTCCCCCCTCCTGAGGGTGCTCGCTAAAGCATCCTCCCCTGCCTTTCCTAGCCTCTGCATCTGCCTTGTTTTTCTCTACAGCCTTCATTTCTTCCCGAATTTATATTTGCTTCTTATTGGAAAACAATGTTGGCAAATTCCATGAGAGCCGGGACTTTATTGTGTTTATCCATATAGCCGACACCTGGAATGCCCGACAGGCAAGACGTGCAGTGGATGGGGAGAATAAGTGGATGGACCAATGAGCTCTTATCTCGTAGGGTATCACCGGGATCCGGTTCGCTGGAGGAGAGAAGTGCTACATCAAAGCACAGGTGAAGGCTCGGGTCCCCGAGGTGGGCACTGTGACCAAGCAGAGCATCTCTTCTGAACTGGTGGGTACCAACACACCGACAGGTGGCACTGAAGACACCCCCTTCTCTCCTGGGCAGGTTCATGACCAGAACCTGAGCTGGGTTTTGCTCTCCCAGAAGAATGTATCTGTCCTGCTGGCTCCGAGTGGTCTTTCTGACATGGTGCAGCATATTTAAAGGTGTGGGGAGGCCTGCTTTAAAGGGCATTAGGTGGACAGCTCAGTGAGTAATGGCATTTGCTGTCAAGCCTAACAGCCTGAGTTGGAGTCCTGGAACCCACATGGCAGGAAGAACGAACGGGCTCCTTCAAGTTGTTTGCCAGCACCCACCCATGTGCTGTGGCTACACATACACACACACACACACACACACACACACACACACACACACATAAGAAACACAGGAAATGTTTCAGTGCATCGGGGCTCGGTATTCAGATGGCCTTCTATATCCAGTGTTACGTGGCTATCAGAGCAGGGATTAGAAATTCAAAATAGCAGAGTGGTGGTGGCATACGCCTTTAATCCCAGCACTCAGGAGGCAGAAGCGGGCAGATCTCTATGAGTTCAAGTCCAGCCTGGTCTACAGAGCAAGTTCCGGAACAGCCAGAGCTACACAGAGAAACCCTGTCTCAAAAAGCACCCCCCTCCCCCAAAAAAAATCAAAATAAAGATTAGAAAAAAGGCTCACAGTTAAACCTTCACTAAAGGGACTTAGAAGCCCTCTCCAGTCTCAGCGCCACAAAATGTGGGAATTCTTCCCCAAGTGTTCCTCTTGCAGGAAGCTGGGGCAGAGCGCTCTTTCCAGGGTTTCCTGGGACACTGCGCTGAGATGCCCTCTAGCTCTGCCCTTGTTTTCAGTTTTGAAAGCAAGGGACTGAACGGAAGGCCTGGCTAGCAGGGCAAGCACCAAGCTATAGCCCCCCCCCCTTATTTTCAAACACAGGGTCTCACTAATTTCCCAGGTTGGCCTTGAAAGTTCAGGCTAGAGTGGAACTCACTACACAGCCCAGGCTGACCTCACCCTCTATACATTTTAAAAACATAATTCTTCCATTTGTTCCTTTAAGTCTGGTATTTTGTTGGTTTTGTATTACTAGCAATTGAACCTTACATATGCTAGATAGTCACTGCACAAGCTATACTCCAGCCCTAAATCTGAATTTTTAAAAAATTTCCTGTAAGAGTTGTATCATGTCCTAGAAAGCCATTTAATATTTTCTGTCTAACACTTTTAGGGCTTACAAAGTGGCCACAGCCATGACTGTCTTCCATCTGAGCTGTGGCAGGGGTTCTGGAAGGATGACGGCTTGGGAACCCTAAAAATGTGGATTCAAACCCCAGCTGTCACCTTCAAACCATTGCTTACATACTGGGCCCATGGCCTTAGAATCTACTAGATGAATGGGAAGATTGCCACTCATAATTGCTAATTTTATTATGATCTTCCCTGAGCCTTTAGTATCCCAGCGAGGGAAGTGAACCGAGTGTCAGATCCCTCGGGGCCATGGAGGAAAACTGTGGATAACAGCAAAGGTGCCTGGAAACCAACTAATTGTTTGTTCCCCTGAGAGCCGCAGCAGGTGATGTCTCAAAACAGAACAAAACACAAGCTACAAACCAACCTGTGGGCTCTGAAGGCGAGCCGGAGGTCCTCTTCCTTCACCTACTTCAGTTACTCCAGTGTTCTTGCTGTAAGATGGAGACCAGACCCCCTTCATTCTCCCTGTGGGCTGTGCTGCTCAGAGCCAAAGGCCATGACTCACAAAGGGCCACCTAAAACGAGGCCGGGACCCTCTGCTGTGGTGCTTGCACTTCTCCTCATGGCACCGCATTGCTGTGGAGCTCTGCCCCTCCACCGCTGTTTCTCATACGTGGGTGTGTACTCGGTCTCTCTCACCTGCCCCGAGAACCAACGCCCCCAGTTGAATCACCCAGCTCTCATCGTAACTTCGTAGTGTGTAACTTGACACTTTTGTCTGTTAAGTGTGTGTGTGTGCGTGTGTGTGTGTGTGTGTGTGTGTGTGTATGCAGGCTTGTGTGGAAGAGGTCACAGGACAACCTGGAGATTGAACTCAAGTCGTCAGGTTTGGTGGCAAGTGACTTTACCCACTGAGTCATCTCATCGGCTTTAATGGATTTTTCTCTCATGATGAACACATGGAAGTGTAAGGATGAATATCACAACTGCATAATCTAAAAGCAGCCAAAATTGATAGTTTGGTGAGTTTGTATCCTGTGTGTAATAATCTTTTCAGATATGCAATTAGCTACTACAAGATTTTTGTTTTCACCTTAGTGTAGGTTACAATGAATGAATGAGGGACCAGCATATGATTAGTATATGTATTTAGACAGGGTCTCATTACGTAGTCCTACCTGTTTTGGAACTCAGGTTGGCCTCGAACTCAGAGATCTGACTCTGTCTGCCTCCCTAGAGCTGGGATTAAAGGTGTAAACCACCATGCCCAGCTACGACTATATTTTTGAGAGTCTTTAAGTCAAACATTTCAGGAACCTTCAATTTCAGATAATAGTATTTGCAAATAATTGCTCAACTATGGCAAGTAGTGATGCATTTTAATCTTTGCACTTGATTGTTAGGTCAGAGTAGACCGTCTTGTGGTTTTGTTGTTTATGGATGCACGGTGGATGCTCTGATGGATGAAAACCAATTGAGAATGCACAGCTGGGTAAATCAGCCATGTTCATGGCTGTCAGCAGCAGGTGACTCCATTTAGAGTACCCTCAGCAGCCAGGGACTGGAGGCCAGCAGCTGGAGCACCACACGCCGCGGTGACTGCCATCATTACCATCTCTCTCCTCCCAGCCCTAAACGGGGTGATGCTGCACGCCCTCTTCCCCAGTTCTTCCCCAGCACTTACGCAGGAACCAGGAAGCCTGCACAGTAACTCCAGTGCCTGAGGACAAACACGAGGACCTGTGTTCAATCCTAGAACTCAGTATGTAGCATATGCACGCAGTCCCAGAACTGGGGGTCAGAGACAAAGGAGGACCCCTGAGAATTCTTCCTCAGCTAGCCTAGCCCCTCTGAGGAGCCCCACAGAGTCAAAGGGCCTGTCTCAGAAAAATGCTCTGCTCCCCGCTTCTGTCTCTCTATTCCTCCCTCTAAATAAATAAATAAATAGAATGTAAAAGCTGATCATTGGTAGCCAATCCTGATTTACCTTTAATAGGGAAAGACAGACCCCTCACTCACATGCACTGTCTTTCAGTCTGGACCTCACTGTCTGACTTTGGCCACTGGGAAGCATGAAGCAGCAAGTGTTCCTCCTTACCATGGGCACCCCGCTACCTCCAGCAAAAAGCAGCTTGTGTTGCAAAGGAAAAGATGGGGGGAGGTGGATGTTGGGTAGCCCACGTGCTCCAAGCCTGACAACACAGGGTGCACCCCAGTCGAGCCCTCCTCTCCACTCTCGCCAGACGACGATGGAGCAGATTTATGTGCCGCTGCTCTCATAAGTTCTTCAACAGTTTTTGTGTAACTTTAAAAAACGACTGTGCTCAGAGAGCATTCATTTCCTGGCTGGAGCCATTTAATTTAAGGTAAATAACTGGATTACCTGAGTGTTACCTTCCTCCAATAACTTTAAGTTGCTTAATGCAACCATACACCCGAGGGGGAACACACAAATGAAGTGCTGCTTTTACCTAAAGTGGGGAAGAAACATTTTAATTTCTCCAGCCTACTGCAAAGTAATAAATACATGAAAGGAACAACCTAGCAAAAATAAATTTGTCTCCTGGGTTATCAAACCACCCTCCGCATCTCGGCGTAGAAGACAATCCAGGGCTTAGCTTTGAAATCTCGGTGGTGTGCTAGATGCGAGGAACATCTGAAATACGTTTTCTTATAGCTGGGAAATGGAGGGCTGGCTTATGTTAAATAATACTTTGAACTGGAGACATTAAAGAACCAATCACTTGCTTTTTCCATTGTTGTTTGGAAGCTGCAGAACAAAACCCCAGAAGATTTTCACTTCAAATGAAGGATTCCTCTATCCTTTATAGGATTTCAGGGTCTGTTCAATGGCTTTTCCTCAAAACATCTTTGATCGAAAACATCAGATTAACCTAACTCTCAAAGTTGGTATCAAGTAATTTTCACTTCGACTCAAAACACTTCTCTGCACACATGAGGGCTGCCTAGAAGCAGGGTGTTGGGGGGGTGTGGGACATGCGAACCGGAGGCTGGAGTCTTAGGTGTGTGCGTGTGGTATGTGCACACACAGAGCTGTCCCATAGTTCACACAAAGCCAAATAATCCCGCAGTAGCCCGACTCGACATGCAGCATGCGCCCCCATCCTCTGCTCACGGGCATTTATTTCGTTCTTACAGGAAGGCAAGATCATGCCACTTAAATATGAAGAAAACTCTCTTATCTGGGTGGCCGTGGACCAGCCCGTGAAAGACAACAGCTTCTTGAGTTCTAAAGTCCTTGAACTCTGTGGAGACCTCCCTATTTTCTGGCTTAAGCCTATGTATCCAAAAGGTAAAGTTTTAAGTTTTTGTAATAGGGCTTGGAATTCTCCCTGCGCTGTGGTTCTTGGAAGCCCCCTCCACTAACCTAAGCTTGGAACAAAAAATGGTAACCTGGGACAGTTGTTGGCTGAGTCTTGGTAATAGCATGAGAGACAACAGAGAAGGAAATGATGGGGTGGGGTGGGGGAGTTGGGATGGGCCTGCCCTATGAAAGGGAAGGCACAGCAGGTTAAAGGGAGGCAGGCAGAAGACAGAGCACCTCTGCATACCTGCGGTTTCTATTTATGGCCCCTGCTTCTTCCTACCCTGCCACTTAATCTCTGTTGTTTGTGCCTTCCCATTTTACATTTCTTTATTCTTAAAGCATAGCATCAGGAGACTAAGAAGTTGTCATGCTGCTGATGCTTTATTATATTCAAACCTAGAATTATGGGGCAGCCACAAGCTGCAGTGGGTACAGGCTGAGATTCCTCAAGTTCAAAGCTTGATATGAGCTTCCAAAACCAGAGAAATAAGTGCGGGGTCCCCTTGGTGTGAGGCAGGAGCACACACGGAGTCATTACTGGTGGCAAAGGGCAGGTAATTCGAACAGCCCTCACTCTTCTGCCCCCAAGGGCCTCACACTTCATTTCTACGGGGGTCAACACACTGGTCTCCCCAAGGACTACTTTATAGCTGTGGATCAGGTGGAGAGGGAGGACTTTCTCCTTACACACGTGAGATAGGCTGTTTTCAGAAAGGTTTTATTGAATATCAGAAGACAGCAATGAGGAAATGGAGAAAATGTAGGCATTAAACCCACTAGGCTAGGCAGGGTACAAAAAAACAAAACAAACAAACAGGCAGTTCTATGGATAGATGGCGGTGTAGCAACACATTGTGCTTAATGCCCTGAACTATATGACTGGAACTCATTAAAGTGAGCTGGGCCTGGTGGCACTGCTTGTTAGTCCTGGCACTAGGAAGGCTCTAGGGAGGAGGATCAGCGAAGGCTATCCTTAGCTGCACAGCAAGCAGACCAGCCCGTGCTATATGATACCCTGTCCATTGTTATGCTTGCTCTGCCACAACCAAAACAATACCCTACCAGGCCTAGAGGGTACAGCTTTCTGATTCTACCATGAATAACTGATTCTTATTGTTCACAAGTCTCATCTTGCTCCAAAGTCTGAAGGAGATGGTTCCTCTCAACCCATACCAAGTAACGCCATGTCATACCTGGCAGAGGGTTAGGAAGAACCCTGAGGACTCTGGAGAGATGGCTCAGAGGTTAAGAGCACTGACTGTTCTTCCAGAGGTCCTGAGTTCAATTCCCAGCAACCACATGGTGGCTCATAACCATCTGTAATGAGATCTGGTGCCCTCTTCTGGCTGCAAACGTACACGCTGACAGAAGAACATAAATAATCTTAAAAGATTTAAAAAAAAAAAAAGAATGGACCATAAATAGATGGAGAGTTAAAACAAACAAAAAAGAAGGACCCTGAGGCCGTAGGCAGGATTAGTAAGAAACCATGTCCCCAGATTGCAGAGCTAAAGCAAGGCCACAAAGAGCACACACTGCATTCATGCCAGCTGCCTTTGGTTTTTGTTGTTGTTTTCATAGACAGGCTTTCTCTGTAGCTCTGAAGCCTGTCCTGGAACTAGCTCTTGTAGACCAGACTGGCCTCAAACTCAGAGATCTGCCTGCCTCTGCCTCCCAAGTGCTGGAATTAAAGGTGCGTGCCACCACCGCCCGGCGCCATCTGCCTTTGTGTCCCAGCCCATATGGCCATATGCCACTTTCTCAGTCCCCACTCCTGTTATCTAGGTGGGCCTTTGTGCCTTCTCACCCAAAAACACTGTCTTTTCCACTAGAGTCTCCCACACTACTACCATGCTCTTCTCTCAGGACAACCAGAACTACCCCGAGTTCACTTGTTCAGATTTACCAAGTGCAGTTTACAAAATTACACCCCTGACGGCCTATCCTGTGCCATGGAATTTGTCCTGGGTGTGAGAGGCAATAGCGAACACAGCAGAAAACCATCTGTACTCTGAGTTATATGCTGCAGGTCTGGAAAGAGAGCTCAGTGGATAGAGATCAGTGGTCAGCGGGTAATCTAATTGGTGAGCCCCAGGTCCCAGTAAGAAACCAACATGAAAAGAATCCCACAAAAACCAAAAACAGGGTATGACTCCTGAGGAACACCTGCCAAGGTTAACCTCTGACCTACACACACGAAAACAGGTAAACTGCATAACAACAGGAGAGACTGCAAAACACAGAGCAGGGTACAAGTGGGAGAGCAGACCAGACAAATGGCAGGACCAAGATGAGTGATGTCACCCTTGGAATCAAGCTTATTCCCTACGTCTACCCTTCTAACATAAACACATGATAAGATCTTACACACTCGGTCAACACAGTATCTATACAAGAGTTATGGGAGGTGTGGGCTGGAGGTATAGCTCAGTGGCAGAGTGCTTGCCTCATTTGATACCCAGCACCATAAAAAATGTACATCATGAATCAAGACTATATAAATGCCTCAGATTAGCAAAGGACTAAATAAATGTTGGCATGTGCATAGGATTATCATAGGCATTAAAATGAATTGCCCACTAATCTGTGGCGAGTGCAATTGTATTTTATTATAAAGAAATTAAATCTTTCCTACAATGCCCAGCTCCCTGTCTGGTTCTAGTAATAGTCTTGCATGGAGGAAGGTCATTGGTTAAATAAAAAGAAACTGCTTGGCCCTCATTGGTTAGAAGATAGGTGGGAGGAGTAAACAGAACAGAACACTGGGAGGAAGAGGAAGTGAGCTCAGACTCCACAGCTCTCCTCTCGGGAGCAGATACCTCAGAGAGACACCATGCCCCGCTCCCAGGCAGACACACGCTATGAAGCTCCAACCCAGGATGGACATAGGCTAGAATCTTCCCAGTAAGACCGATGCTCACAGATTATTAGAGATGAGTTGATCAGGATATCAGAATTAGCCAGTAAGGGCTAAAGGGCCAAGCAGTGTTTAAATGAATACAGTTTGTGTGTTGTTATTTCTGGTGTAAAGCTTTCTGTGCGGGAGCCAGGCGGGACGAAAAGCAGGCCCGCCGCCCTTATTACTACAGTTCTAGTAATAGTCTTGCAGACTGAACATTGGCTATTGAAGAAAACAGGTCACCAGTATCACACAGCTGGATAACCAAGGGGGAGGGTAGGTGAACACAGGCCAGAAATGGACAGCCACGTCCTAGAACAACCTACTTTGTCCTCATTTCATCTTTACCAACTGTTGATACAATTTACATAAGTTCCCAAGATCCAGGGAAAGACACTAGATGAAGAGAGACTAATTTGCCTGAGGTCCTACAACTAGCTGAGTAGTGTGAGCTGATTCAGGTCTCCTTGGTGCTTCTCCAACCATACACTATTCATGGAATCTACCAACGGCTTCAAAGCGTATCTTAGTTCTCATAAATAACAAACTATAAGAATGCTACCTAATGTTTGTGAGCTTGCTATATGCTAAGACCCTTAGATAAGGTTTTTCTCAGCCCTATCACCCTGTGAAAGAGATACTACTAGCTCCATTGTACACAAAGAAAGCTCAGGGAGATGCTACCGCAATGCTCTGCGGTACTTTCCACCTCTGTTACTCACCTGTCATCGGCACTGCTAGATACACGAGGAGGTGGCTAACGGTGGTGCTGGGTTGGAGACAGTGTTCCTATCCTGTCCTTGCGGTCACTCAGTTTGTGATCTTGGCCAGCCACTTGGTTTGCACCTTAATGCCCTCATACATAAAAACATCTGATTTTTCTATCCCTTGTAAATTTTCTTAAAAGAATTAACCAAGACAATGCCTCATATGAAGATGTAAAGTTTTATGTCTATACAATCAATCGATTAGGAGTACAAAGGGCTGCAGGTTATAGCATACTGATCAGCAGCTTTGCTTATTTACAACCCAAACCATAAGCTATAAAGATTTTGGCACTAGTGTCCACTCCACGACACCATCAAGTCTCCTGTTAGCCTATTACTTTGCTCTCTGTAGCGTGTTACCTTATCCATTATGCTTATTTATCAATTCCTAATTCTAGATCTACATCTAGGAAAAACAAAGGAACAACTTTCTGTCCTCTTTTATCAAGAAAGTAAAAGTTGGGGTCAGGTAGTGGTGGCACACGTGTTTAATCCCCGCACTCAGGAGGCAGAGGCAGGCGGATCTCTGTGAGTTTTAGGCCACCCTGGTCTACAGAAGACAGGCTCCAAAGCTACAGAGAAATCCTGTCTAGAAAAACCAAAAAGAGGGCTGGAAAGATGGTTCAGAGGTTAAGGGCACTGGCAGCTCTTCCAGAGGTTCTGAGTTCAATTCCCAGTAACCACATCATGGCTCACAACCATCTGTAATGAGATCTGGCGCCCTCTTCTGGCCTGCAGGCATACATGCAGACAGAACACTGTATACATAATAAATCTTAAAAAAAAAAAAAGAAAAAGACAAAGAAAGTGAAAGCACACATGGTGCTAACCTATTCCACTCCTGTGTCCAGAGTTTGAGATAGCCTGCCTGGCCACTCCTGTGTCTAGAGTTCGAGACAGCCTGCCTGGCCACTCCTGTGTCTAGAGTCCGAGACAGCCTGCCTGGCCACTGCTGTGTCTAGAGTTCGAGACAGCCTGCCTGGCCACTCCTGTGTCTAGAGTTCGAGACAGCCTGCCTGGCCACTCCTCATTGCAAAAGGGCAGAGAAAATCAGGAATATTTTATTTGCTCAGTTCCTATACTGAAGTGGGGAAAAGACAAAACGGCCCGAGAACGGAGGTTTGTCAACCAACTTCCACTGTCTCGTCCAGTCCGTATTATAAAACCAAACGGGAAGCTAGTATATGGCTCATACCTGTGCTTGTCACTCTAGAATGCAGATCTAATTGTTTTACTCATGTTAAGGAATTAACTTAGAGAAAATTTTGCAGAAATCCAGAGAGAAAGAAGAGACATAGTAAGAAACATTGCTCCGTCTACCACAAGACCACACAGTGAAGCACGAGGCAACCCGGGCCCTAGAAGACTGAATAATGAAACCAGGCCCAGTGTCCAGGACGACGCAGAACCATTCAATCCCGACAATCCTTACCACGTGCGTACCGGTGTTTTCATGGCGTGCCCAGACAAATGCACTGAATGTGATGCGGAAAGTTTATTTCCAAGTGAGATTTCATGTATCTCCAGCTATGCGGTGTGAATTCAAAGTTATCCCCCTACCCCCTTTTTTGGGTAAAAGGAAAAAAAATCTATGAAAATAGCTCCTACCAGACTCTGATTGTTTAAAATGATCCCAAGAGTGCGCCCTCAGGGCAACACACGGAGTGAAAGCGTTCTCTTCCCCTCTTATATCCATGCTGTTTGTCCATTCGGCACACATGTGTGGGTCTCCTGACCTTTCTCAGGCCCTTTTCCCAGACTGTCGACTGCTACTTCTGCCCTTGGGGCTCTCATTCCAGACACACGATGGACTCCCACATGGAGACAATACTCTGAGCTGAAGGGCCAAAAACTGACTTCGTGAGAATGGCATTAATGTATTAAAGCCCAAATCTTTTAAGAAATATCACTATTACTATACCTTGCCAAGAACAAAAATAGAATATTTGTAGCTGTTTCTTTAAAAAAAAAAAGTATAAGCATACATTTAAGAAAGCTATACAGTGAAATTGAGTTTCCAAAACATTCCAGCACAGCCATCTTCCCCAAAACAGCTTATTAGTAACTATGTGTCCAGTTTATTTGCAGGAGAACACACAGAGAAACACACACACACACCTTTTCAGAACAAAAATTCCATTCTGCTTTCCAATTAGAATACAGTATTTTGGGAAGTGTTCTGTTACTGGCTTTTGTCCAATCAGCAGCATTCTAACAAAGAGATAGATAGGCATATGCTGAAGCTTAACTAATTTGGCTTTGGCGGGCAGAAAGCTTCATTTGCTACTGCTGTAGTAGTGCCAGCACCTAAATGAGGTGAACTAGGTGAGGCAGATATTTGCGCATGGACTCTATGATGGAGTATGTCTTTAGCATAAATACCAAAGCATAGTTCTGATGCATCTAAGTATAGGAGTTGTATATTTTACCGGAGGTCAACACACCATCTTCATGTCTGTGAAAGGTAATGCAAGGCCCCCTTTCTACCAGACTTTCCTGGACACATGGCATCGCCCAACAGCAGGGGCTACTGAACCCAAGTCCCATGCTTGCTAAGTATAAACCCTACCACTGATTCTACCCTCCAGTCCCATCAAACCTTTTGGCCTTTGCAACTCTCTTGGGTGTATAAATTATGTCATTTGCTTATTTACTTTGCCCGTCTTTAATTATGTGTAAGGCTGAACATCTTTTCACACACTCAATCAGCAGCTCTCAAAGGTAGGGCACAGCTCTTTGGGGGTGCCCTAAGACCATTGGAAGACTCAGATATTTATATTAAATTCCTAACAGTACCAAATTAGTTATAAAGAAGCAAAAAAATAATTTTGTGGTTGGGGGCCACAACATGAGGAACTGTGTTAAAGGGTCACAGCATTAGGAAGGCTGAGAAGCACTGCAAGAAATCATTTGTGTATCTGCCCCTCCCCCACAGCTCATTCAGTCCTGCACTGCTCCAATATTACAAACGTATTTCCTAGCTTATCATTTTAGACTAATGTATTTTAGAAGGATTTAGAGCAGAAGGTATTCTCTAAATAACCCAAGGCTTATCAGAAAATTCAGAACACCATAGTACTTTATTCCCTAAGTTCAAAGACTAACAAGAAATATAATCTGAATAGGCAAACAAAATTTAATATCGCTTCTTCCCCAGGTAGCTGGGCTAGATGAATCTGTTCAAGGTCTGAAGCTATCAGGCACCTCACAGAAGGGATGTGACGTGTCCGCCCTGGCTACGGATTCCAGTAATCCACAGCCCTTGAAAAACTCCAATTATGTCAACTTTCTCCTTTATCATATGCTGAGCTTTAGGCAAAAAAACCTTCAAGCCTTTCCCTCAAGGTCTGTCCTCCACGTGTTCCTCTAAGGAGCAAGCAACAGCCTGAGAATCCTCCCAATTTTGTTAATCCTAGTAAGCCCCTGTTGAACCTCCCCGCGAGGAAACACCTCCATTAACACTTCTGCCCCAGAGAAGTCACCCGGCAATTATTCAGGGGGCTGTTCCAAGAGATAAGGGGGAAAGCAGCCTGCAGACTGGAAGGACAGTCTGGAGACAGGATCTGAACAGATGTCTTGGACAGTGTTTAGGGACAGCTTGTCTTGTTAGGTGTGACAATGGCAGAAGCTGTGTAAAAACCATCCATTCCTTTTAGAACTACTTTCTATTTACGGCTGAAGTGTCCTGATGCTTTCAGACTTCTTTAAATTCGTATCAGAATCCTCGTTCCAGTACTACAGGAGAAAACCAAGTAAACGTGACAATAGGTTAGCAGCTGTCAGAATAAGCAAGCGCACTAATGCTCCATAAAGGTTTTCCCACTGCCAAGAAAAATTTAACTTTCCTCACGCTGACTAGACTTAAGCTCACAGGATAGAGCCAGTTGCTTCCAGGATAGGTGTGGAGACAAAGAACTTACAACTGAGGACGTGGATAGATGTTGTGCCCATTAACTACAATCCAGACATTTCAAGAGGTTGAAGCAAGGACTGCTCTAAGATCAAGGCCAGCCTGGGCTAGTGTGAGACTCTATAACCCCACCAATGCCCCAAGTAAATCAAAACAAGGGCATCTTGCTAGCATGTTCAATGTGTAGTTAAAAACATACAGAAACCTGCCCTGTAGGTCCTTGGAAAGATAAACCTATCCAGTATCACAATCTATCCTGCAGTGAAGTGAAGTTTGACTTCATGCTTGTGTTTGGGAGGGTCTCCTTTTCCGTGAAGACAGCATCTGTTGTTGATACAAATGCAGGAGAAAGTGAGTGACTCAGCAGGGCTCAAAGAGCAGTGGAATTGAAATCCAGCCTGGCCCCAGATAAGTGGGTTTAAAACATGCACCCAAGAGCTCTACAGGAAGAAACAAATGTCCAGTGACTTAAAATTAGCAGTTAGGATGCTCCTTCTGATCAGAATGCTTCCTTTGTGCTTATTTAGAACAAGGCAAGTCCCTTCTGAGTGGTAACCATAGCTCCTTCTGGCATGGAGGAACTTCATTAAAATACCACACTACTTTCTGCTGGTGACAGGCTAAGTAGGCAAAGGTGCCTTGATGTCAGAAGGAATTCTGAGTGGTGGCACTAGTTTGAAAACTTACAACTGATTGTTCTGATCTCCTGAAGCAATGAACTCAGGACCTTATTTTAAAATGCGACGCACGGTGTAACCTTCTCATTAGAGGGAATAAAATCAGTGTCTTTCAATTCACAGCAGCAGGAAGGAGAAAGCATGACATTTGACCCGAGACTGGATCACGAAGGAATCTGCTGCATAGAATGCAGGCGGAGCTACACCCACTGCCAGAAGATCTGCGAGCCTCTGGGAGGCTACTATCCTTGGCCTTATAATTATCAAGGATGCCGTTCGGCCTGCAGAGTTGTCATGCCGTGTAGCTGGTGGGTAGCCCGCATCTTGGGCATGGTGTGAAACCATTGCATCTATCAGGTACTGTCAAGCAAGAATTAACTTGAGAGTTGACAACCAAAGGAGCATAAAGCATGCTCTGGCCAAGGGACCACAAAGTATTTTATATTCAAGCTAAGTGATGTTATCCTAAACAATACACCAGAAGCTCTCAACTGTGCGTGCAAACGTGCTGAAGGGGTAGACTACGTCTATAATTACCCCTTCAATATTTGCTTTGCCAATAAAGCCTGTTGCAAGTCTTTAAAAACTACTTTTAAAATAAACATGGAAAGTTATTCACAGTTTGTCCCAGATCTGTCATATACTTGAATTTCTTTTAATCAAGTCATGATTGAAATCATCCCAATGGCTCCATTGTTTACAGGGAAATGTTCTTAACCTTCAATTATTCCCAGAGCCCCCACTCCCAAAAAAAAAAAAAAAACCTCCTCAAAGGAACTGGGAGAACCATAGAATTCACCTAAAAGCAAACATTACAACCTTCAATGTGTACCTCATGCGGAATTATTAGCTATAGTTCCCATGACAGCTGATTAGTAAGGGACAACCATGTTAAGTCCCCCTCCCAGGAAGAAAGCACTAGGATAGAGAACTGCGCACAAGGTCAATCAGACTCACAAGGGAAGAACTGTGACATTTGGGAGGCACAGGGCGAGAAGCACCATTGTCTAACCTGAGCAGTAAACATCAGGCAGCCAACGGGGTCTCATTACCAGTCGGTGACTCTAACAGAACAGGACGGATAGAGCTGCCAGGTAGGTGCAGCTGAGGAGGAATGGCCTGCTTACTACTGACATAAAGACACAAAGAAGCAAGCACTGTATCCAGAAACTGCGTTGGATCAGGATATGGAGTGTTTAGTAATGAGAGAGAGAGAGAGAGAGAGAGAGAGAGAGAGAGAGAGAGATTGATTGATTCCTGAGAGGAATTTTTATCCAAAGAAAACTCTGATATGACTCAAGAGTCTTAGTGACAACACACTCCCTTTCTGAACAAACCTTATTGCTCTTGTCCAGTGTTTGTCAATTAAAACCGGTAAGACAGAACTTGTGAAGCCTGGCTATTAAATGCTTCCGCTAAGGGGGATAAATAGTACTGGTGCCTGAAGAAAGAGGAATAAAGAACATGACATCCTGGCCATACTGTTCTCAGGCAAAAGATATTCAATTTTTCAAGCTTAATCTTTAAGGTAGTTGCTTTCCTTTATCTTTAAGGTGGTTTCCAAGCAAAATGTGGGCCGTATAGTTCTACCCATGCTCACATACCCACAGAGACCAATCGTTTGTACTGGGTTCTAGAAACAAAATCAAAGAGATTAGTCATCAAGATTCCATCCTAGGAAGAATAAAGCAAAGGGCTCCTCGGAGAACACCTACTTTGAGTTAGACCGTGAAGTGAGAGAATGGGTGTTCCAGGAGGAGTATGTCGGGAAAGGGCAGACACACTGATGCCTCGTGGGACAAACTGGAAACGAAGCACTTCAGAATGCAATGTGATGATGGAAAACCAGCCAGAAGCTCCTTACACTTGATACCTATCCGATTCTAGGTAAGGAGATGGCTGGTTAGGTTTTCATGTTAGGTCAAGCTTTCCTGAGAACCTAAGGCATTCCAGAGACCAAAGGGCAGCTTAGCAAGGAGCACATGCCATAATAAAGCTGTCTCCTGCAAGACACTTGCTTCCTTTTTAAAGTTCTACCAGATGGAAGTAGATAAAGCAAAGAGTTCAACCAGGTTGACGTACAACCTTTAGAAGAAAAGGGAAGTGGGTGGTTTAGTTTTTACAGAAGAGGGACCATAGTTATAAAACGTCACCGAATACAAAAGACATCGACAGTTAAAAAAATAGTATTTGGCTGTTAGGCTCAAGGTTAGATGACAGGAGAGCCCAAGTGCTCTCTAGGAAAACAACTAAGGCTACTTTGAAAAGAGTCAAGTAAGGAGAGGAAGAAGACACAGAAAAAGCAAAAGCTTCCCATGACTTTGTACTCATCCTCTATTGCCTTCAAACAGGCCAGTCCCCAACTACACACACAGCTGTCTTTCGCTATGCTGAAATTTGATGGACACTGATCAGTATGTGCACACTTGTGTTGATGATGGGTGCCCTAATATTTTAGACATTTACTTCTCAGGAGTGGTGTAAACCATTACTTCTAGAACATCAGAGGCTGGTTCCCAAGGTCCTAAGGTGACCCAGAACCAAACGGTGGCTTAATTCAGTCTTAGATGTGCTAGGTGTCAACAGGCACAAAGGAAATAGAGGAAAGGTCTCACTTCTCCATCAGTGTGGTCATAGTAACTTACATCACTGAAGTATACCAGATTGCATTGTGGCCGGTCTAGATCTGATCCCTACATCTCTCCTACCACCTCAAATAATTCTAACATTGAAAAGATACACTAAAACTATTCAATCCACTCAACCATTTATTTTACATCAGATTTTATTACGGTGAAATATGATCTCCATCTTACAAACACAAATTCTTTGAGGGGCTTGTTTCTGTATGAGCTGGCTGTATTGATTAGTTCAACAGTGTGTACTTTATAGAAATGACCACATTTTTAAAGCTAACAGATTTATTAGGGGATAGGGAGAAACTGACAAAGCCAGCATGCATTGCTAGTTCAATGGTCTATCACAATACATGCATTGCTAGTTCAATGGTATATCACAATACAAGCATTGCTAGTTCAATGGTCTATCACAATACATGCATTGCTAGTTCAATGATATATCACAATACATGCATTGCTAGTTCAATGGTATATCACAATACATGCATTGCTAGTTCAATGGTATATCACAATACATGCATTGCTAGTTCAATGGTATATCACAATACATGCATTGCTAGTTCAATGGTATATCACAATACATGCATTGCTAGTTCAATGGTATATCACAATACATGCATTGCTAGTTCAATGATATATCACAATACATGTACTGCTAGTTCAATGGTATATCACAATACATGCATTGCTAGTTCAATGGTATATCACAATACATGCATTGCTAGTTCAATGGTATATCACAATACATGCATTGCTAGTTCAATGGTATATCACAATACATGCACTGCTAGTTCAATGGTATATCACAATACATGCATTGCTAGTTCAATGGTATATCACAATACATGCATTGCTAGTTCAATGGTATATCACAATACATGCATTGCTAGTTCAATGATATATCACAATACATGCACTGCTAGTTCAATGGTATATCACAATACATGCATTGCTAGTTCAATGGTATATCACAATACATGCATTGCTAGTTCAATGGTATATCACAATACATGCATTGCTAGTTCAATGGTATATCACAATACATGCATTGCTAGTTCAATGGTCTATCACAATACATGCATTGCTAGTTCAATGGTATATCACAATACATGCATTGCTAGTTCAATGGTCTATCACAATACATGCATTGCTAGTTCAACGGTATATCACAATATATGCATTGCTAGTTCAATGGTATATCACAATACATGCATTGCTAGTTCAATGGTCTATCACAATACATGCATTGCTAGTTCAATGGTATATCACAAACATGAAAGTGCAAATCTGAACAATGAAACTAGTTTTAGCAAAAAAAAAAAAAGAAAAAGAAAAGAAAACCACAAAATACCTTCTAATGCATAGAGTGTTTTTGTTATGAAAGAAAGCTGAACTCCTTTTAAACGGTGCATTTGTGTATGTGTGTATGTATATATATACTCATGCTCATATTCTACACAAATATACAAGTGCATTTCATTTTAAGAAAAGATCCAGAATTAGAATTAAATTTATAAAACAAGTTAGTTTTAACTAAGTGGAGGAATCGCCACAGGTTATTTAAACTGTTTATATTCAAATATATTTCAGTTTTTAGATTTTAATGTATACATTAAATATAGATTTGTGCATGATAATCTAAGATTAGCAAATAGTTAACACTATTTTCCAAGACATTCATGTCACCGAACCCTTTTCACATCTTAGTTGTTTTTACATAAAAATACAGGAGTCAGTCCCTAGTATGGTACGGTATGTTACCACCAGAAAAACAACGATTAGTACTAGGACTGGAAATAATAAACCCACACTATGCTAAAGTTGCTCCTTTCTTAACTTTATCTTCACCCATGATTCCTAACAACTTGTTTGGAACACCAGAAAACTGCCACACACACACACACACACACACACACACACACACCTTTTTAATCCTCTTCTGTAGATAGCAACAGAACTTATAAAAGCAACAAAACACTCTGGAAGAAATACCTGTATGTACCTTTTAAACTGACTTGATGTATGTAGAAGTATTTGCAATTATTTTACATTTTTGAAATGTGACTACTCTGGCTTTCTATCCTTTGGCATTCCAAAGAGTGGATCATTTCCTAGCAAAGAATTTTCTTTTCACAGGCCTACCTTTAATTAGTCTACACTATTGCCTATCTTTTTATAAACACAAGTCCAAAAACCTGGAACAACTAGTCAAGCATGAAATTTCTCTTAGCAGACTCCAGAAACCAGGCACGGTGCAATGTCTGTAAACACAGCACTGAGAAGCCAAGACAGGAAGCTTGCTAAAAGTGTGAGCCCAGCCTTTCTTAAAGACCCTATCGCAAAATAAACAAACAAACATATCCCTATTACTAAGTACAAAGTAGTAAAAACAACCAATTTAAAAAAAAAAAAGGATCTCCGTAAGTATACACTACCACACTTCTCTAGGCCTATTCAACCAGCATTCACACCTTAGTCATTCTGTGCCTATGCACAGCACATAGGCAGTAACAGAAACAGTGCCTCATTGTGACTCTAGCATGGTCTTCTGCTGTTCTCCGCTCCATTTGAACACAGGGTAGTGACAGACTTTTAAACTTGTGTCTTGCCCAAATCCCTGCTTCAATGCTTTACCTACCATGACTGCAATGGCAGGTTTCCATTCATGTGCACTGCCAGACTCTGATTCAATGACTTCAT